TTCCTACTGGATTGAAAAGAAATATTTTAATATGTTTTGCTCTCTCCCTAAGACTAGACAGAGCAGTTTTTAAAGGATTCACAACTTCACAATAGTGGAGAATGTTTTGGAAGCCTCATGCAGGAGAGGCATCTTATTATGAATGACAGAGTTAAACTGTACTAGACAAAAGCATGCAAGGTTTATACACGATTTCAAGGTTGGTGAGATTTTAACCTCATATTGATTGAAGTCACATTGCATTTCTGAGGTTTGTAGACCAATTTACAGTGGTAAAGCAGCAGTTCTGCCAAGAACAATTTCTAAATATTCTCTCTGGAATCAGTTATTCTTTTGTGTCTTAAGCCAAGACAAAAATAGTAGTGGCAAAGAAGGTACAGTAAATCCTATCTAAATTACTTTTTCCTCCCCAGCATTGCACATAGTAATTTTCTTGTGTGCTTTAACTGTTGTGAAAATTACAAGGAATGTAAAAAAGAAAAAAAAAACCAGGAGGAGAAAGTCTGATTACATGCTGATTTACATAAATTCAAAAAATTAACAGTTGAATGGACATGAGTAGGATCCCATCATTAATTTGGAACCAGGTTGAGTAAAAATGTTTTGAATGATCTACAAAATGTCTTTTTTGAAAACACTTCCCTTATTCCTGAACTTTAAGAAAACTTCTCAACTGTTTCCAGTAAATGTTATTTTTGAGATTTCTTATGTTATTTTTGAGATTTCTTTTAAAATTTCTTATAACTACATAGCATCATTTTATCTTATCTTTACCTTATCTTATCTTTACCTCTGCCAATGCAATTAGACACTGAACTATTTTTAAGCAGTTTCACCCAAATTTTCCAGCCCATTACATTAGTCACTACTGCATTAGTCATACAGAAAACCTGAATAACAAACAGACCAGTTGGGGATGTCCTCTCTTTGTTGTCTTCAAAATAATATTCTGTATATTATTTCTTTTTGAAGAGAGAAAAAATTGGAAAATAAATTGGAAAGAATCCTCTTTAGCCAGTTTCATTTCATCAGAAGTGTATCAGAAATTTCTTGTATTAATGTCACATGTCAAATTTCCTTGCATGCTTGAGGTAGAGAAGCATCAAATCCAAATGTCATATCCTTCATGTCATGCCTTACTATGATAACTCTAGAGAGGGTTATTTTACAACATCACACACTGTGAAAATTATTCAGCACTTGAAGAATGGAAATGAATGCTTTTATAAAACCATATATTCATTGTTAAGTATCAAACCCACATATTCATTGGTATATATCAACATTTCCTTGAAGGCAGTGCCAGTCCAAAATTTTAAAGACACAGATGGAAATATAAATACATATATATACACACATACATGTCTAAGTCTATAAACATACTTGTTACTCCTTTAGAAGTACACTATAACTATGTAATATACTAAAACTTTGTCTTGAAACTTCAATCATTTATCAGAAACATTGTGCTACACTGACTATAAAAAGGATAAAACAACAATATCTGCCAAAGAGCTCCTGATCTGGCCTTTGATATCAACTGGTTACCTCAAAGTTATACTTTTTATAAGCACATATTTTAAATGCTTCATATTGCATGGAGAACACCTTTGCTTTTACTTAAGAGTCATTCCAAGTTCCAATGCATGGTCTTTCATAAATTTTGTGTTACCTTCCTTTGGACTACCACACAAGGCTGTCAAAGCTGTACAGCTCCCACAAATAGATCAGGGATACAGCCAATCCCATCAAGATGTATACAGTTGTCTGGGCTGCTAATCACCCTCAAAGCTCCCACTGACACCCCTGGGAGCTGATGGAAATAAGATATTCCCAGAAGGGGCTAAAAACTTGTAGAGTTCTTCACTTTATTCTCGGGCATGGCAAGCAAAACCAGCATGGATGTACAAAGTAAGAACAAGCTATTCAAGGGGGTGATAAAGACTATTTTGTTATCCTTGATGAAAAAAAACAAAACAGCTGCCATTATTGAACCTGATCAGCTGGTTTGTACTGTGTTGGCTTCAGTGATTTTAATAAAACTACACAGATTAATGTCCAGTGAGAACCCATTTCCAAAATCACAAAGTTATTAAAAACAGAATGGATGAAAAAAATTATCTTTATAACTTTCTGCTGCCAAAAGTCTATCAGCTAAAATTGTATTTTGTGGGTTTCCCAGTATTTTGGTTTGCCTTCTTGAGCAGAAAGACCATTTTGGACATAAAGAATTCAACTCAAGGTGAGTCTCTGCTGCTTTATGTACATTGGATAGTAGCTATTTAATTAAAATAAGGTTACTTGCAGAGCAAATCGCATGAGTAAGAACATGAGATGTTAATCTTCTAGATTTTAATGTGAAATACCACTGGCTTGGGGGAAGGGACTTTCACCCTTCTTACAACCTTCAGCCATGGCTGTGCAAGTTCCTAGATTTGCTAGTAATTGGATCATTTAAATACAGAATAGGAAACTTCAAAATTACTCAAATACAGCTGTTAAACAGAACTTTAAGCTTTTTTTCACTGATGTTCGAGTGATATTAATTGAACCTTCCGCAAGTATAAAGAGAATATAAATTATTGAGAAAATGAGTGTTCTAAATTGTTACAGTTTTCAATATTTTACTACAGTAACTCTGAAAAATGACTTCTAAGTTTCCATTTCTACCTCTCAGTTAGCTTTACTTTGATAGATATGTTAGTATCTCCCTCTAGTGGTTTTCTGAGTAATAATATTGATCAGAAACCCCTCCAGTGGACAAGGTCATGAATTTTATTCTCTTTAGATAAGCCGTTCTCTTGCATACATGTCAACTAGCACAGCAGTGCACACTCTCACACCAATAAATGCAACACAGTCTAAAATGCCAAGGCTTTTGTTATGAACCCCAGAGTCTGCACTAGGTCAACATGCAGGACTTCATGTATCCATGTATTTCATTAGAAGAAAAAACCTACCTTCTGCTGTAATTAGGCAATGAATATGTTTAGGTTGCAAAAAATTAAAAAGTAAAAATATGATTTTACTGAATTCATAGTTTAACCAAATTGATGCACACTATTACCTTCCGTCATTAACATTTGCGTTCATTTGAATGCTGTGAAAACTCAATAGCAACACTTACTCTTACACAGAGCACTCATCCTTGCTATCCCTAAGTACAGCTTTATTTTCACAGGTATTATAGTCTCTTCTAATTACTTTGTACCTTTGTTTGTGCAGAAAACTTTCTTCTTCTGTTTCATTTTAACAGGGACAAGAGGAAAATGTTTTGAAGGGAATGACACTGACTCAATTCGTACATGTGCAATCTCAAAGAGCCGACCATATAAACCCAACAGGTTCCCGTGTCTTTGTATTTGCTATGGGAGAGGCCCTTGTGTTCTGTAATTGTGATTTATAAGGCTCCAGACAGGGTTTTTTCATATTTAATTTCCCTTAATATTGCAATACTAATTTGCTCCAGATTGTTGCTTTTGGGACTCGCTTCATTCTGTTTTCTTTTGTATGCTTAGTAAGTAAAAAAGTCTGCTAATTTTTTAAGCCAAGAACAAAACAAAAAATTAGAGAAAGTAACTGACCATCCACACCACATGAAAACTTGCAGAAAAATGAAGATAGGAGCGGACATCATGGCAGAGGCACGACTCGTTGTGCATATAGGCTGATCCTATTAATAACGGGCAAAGTAGCAAGTAGAGGAAAGGAAAGAAAACAGAAAAAAAGACACACAAGATGAGATATCATGCAGATTGCTGGCAGTTAGCAGAGTTAATGTGAAAGCATCCACCCAAGAGCAAGAGATTCACGGCAAATTTTGCAAATAAACTTAACCAAAACAATCCACTGTTACAAAACACATGACTTACACACTGATTAGCACATCAAGCTAGTGAGCAAGAGTTGTACTTTCACACACAATCATATCAGGAGAATAATCATATCAAGAGGATTTGGAATATTTACAATAGCCAAATAGCTTTTGGTTGGTTTTTCAACTTTGTTTAACCTTTGTTGGCCAGTAAGAAGACTTCCTTTTTAAAATAAAATTTGGTTACTAGAAAAATGCATTGAATACCAAATGTCTGGACTTTTTTAACACTACTGACATCTCAGTAATTGTGCCGCATTAAAGAAAAGCAGAGAATATACTGGAACAAAACTTGGTATACAGCAGTTATAGCCAACTAACTGCACTAGTTTTGGACAATCTTTCCTTTGCAGAAATGGGATGAGGCATTACAAATGCATTTTAAAAACATTTATTTTATATAATGGCAGGTACTTCCCTGTTCAGTACTTTTTGTCTTGAAATTTATTCTAATAATTTGAATTCACCATATTCTCTTTCATACAGTATTTTGAAAGGTAAGACAGAGAGTATATTCAAAATAATTTATATATATGGCACAGTTATAATTTTTCTCCTTCAAAACTGTAATGTATACAATACAGGGAGTACTAAACAGCATAGTTTTGCTGATTTATGTAAAGCAACGCACTTTTATACCTGTTAAGAATGTGACCTAAGGTCAATACACATTTGCAGAATTTCTAAGAGGAACAACATCCTAAACCAGATATAATGTTTTTAATCATTTAACAACACCTTAAATAATATTTGGAAACACTAATATAAAAATAGTACTTCTAAACCAGGATTATCATCTATTTGTGAAAGCCATAGAAGAACTGAATTTCACAGCACCATACAGAGACCATCAGTTGTATGCTCACTGATGGTTTTTTTGTAGTGGGAATCATGTGTGAAAGTGCAATGGTTATAGGAAAGGCAGATAAGAAAGCAGCTGTTAATTTTATGTTAATCATGGGATACTTGAAATAGCATGGCTATGGTCTACAGTGAACAGTATGTTTAGTGATAGATAGGTTACCAGGCACCAAGGTACATTTAAACATAGTTTTCACTGCTCTTCTAAAACAGCTCTACAATTGTTTTTAAAGATAGTCCTAAAGTCTTACAAGCTCAATTTTACCTGTTTGGCTTCATCAAAACAGACATCAGGACCCTTTCTGTATCTGGGTTGTTTGACCATTTCACAAGGATTTGGCCCTTCATCTGTTTCTCTGGTTAAGGAGCATGACTGGTTTTTGTGCATCTTACATTAGCAGGATTAACATTACGTTTTTACTTTCGTGGGAGAACAGAAGTTTAATGCTAATTCAGATAGTACTGAAATAAACATCAATAGTCACAGTTCCTTGTTTAAATTAAAGAAAACCAAACCAACCCAACCCTCCAGATAAATTGAAATCAAATACACTTTTTCTAACACTGCTTTAATCAAGAAAATAAACATCCCGCATGACTTTTTAGAACCAGCACTTCCAGAACTGTACACAAAATAAAAATAAAAGCTGAGGTTTTTTAAGATTTTCTGTATTGCTTTTATTACCATTGCATAAATATTACAGAATATATTTGATAAAGTAGTAAACTTTCAATGGTGCTAACTGGTTATAGCGTATGTTACCATTGAGTTATTCTGCTAAAATGAAGATACACAGTAAAAGTGAGGAAGCCTGTTTGGAAAACTAACGCTACATGCAGGCTGAAAATTGCAGTGAAGGCCTATAAGAACTACTGGTTTTATTATGTGTACACCTATATTACCCCAAATATCATAGACAAGATCATCCCACTGTAGGCTTTGATAGCAAATGACAGAAAACCTAATCAGATCTCATTAGCATTTCAGTGATGAAGGGAGACAGAGAAAATACTGTCCAAACTAACAGCAGAACAGCAGGATAGAAATGGGAGCAGTGACATGCTATTAATTAGCTAACTGTAAACGTGAGGTGATGCTTTAGCTTACGTCTCTGAAATCTGTAACTGCTGATATTTAAGTGTAAATACTATACTTCACATTTGCCACAGGCTAACAAGGGGCACAAGTCATTGCAGCATACCTGAAAGCACGGATATGGTAAACTGCAAAACAATCTTCTGTTGAAACCTGCTTATATTACCATTCAGTATGTTAAGCTTTTTTTATTCCACTGTTTGTAGTAGACACATTAAAGCTAAGCTAGAGTGTTTTAAAAAAATTGAGCACCAAAATTTTACTTATCTTAGTAACTCTAACTTATACTTGAAGCAATCCTATTCATGCACTACTGTAGAGTACTACAGCAGCTTCATTGCAATGAATGGAGATGCCCAATGGAAGAGAAGGCAAGAGGATGGGGAATTTAGTTCAACAGATCTACATCTGTCTTCATTCAGACGTTATCAGACTCACCTCCCCTTTCCTCTGCCGGGGCCCAGCTGAAAGGGAAGTTGAAACATAGAAATATTCTAAAAGACCATGTGCACAAGGAAAGCTGTACCAGCCAGAAGGAAGCAGGGTCTAATAATAACCATCTGAATAGCACCCAAAGGTCATTCTGTCTGCTTGTGTGATGTTATGCTACATCTGCATTTCACAATGTACCTTAGTTATAAAAAAGAGAGAATAGTTTAGTACTGCATAGTTGGAACAAAAATAAAATAGTTCATTTAGTCAATATAAGCCCACCCAGCTGCTCTGGCTGCCATTTGAGGTCATTTACTGCTTTCTAGTAGGTTTGGGCCCCACAGGGAAATGCAAGTCATGTGCCCATTTCCCATCAAAAGTGCTTCATTTTCTATAGTGAGTGCTGTCTATAAATTCAGACAGTGGCAACAGTTAATCAAACTGTCATGGACTGCAGCCAATTAGAATATTAGGCTGTGTTTACATAGTTCTGTGATGACATGGATATTGCTTCCACCCCAATGTAACTTCCTTTTCAGGCCAAGCGTAGATGAAATTCCAGTTTTATTAATGTGGCAATGAACGCATTGCTTGTGCCAAAGAAACACAGTCATCTCTACCACCATCTGCTTTTCTTTCAGGAATGGGAGAGGCTGTCTCAACTAACTTCCTGATGTGGACAAAGGTATTGCTAATTGTTTTCCATATTCTGTCATAATAATCCAAATTATGATTTGATTTACCATCTCTGGCATGCTATCCTCAAGCATATATAGCAGAGAAAAATCGAGGTGAATTTCTCCTGGCCTAGAGTATGTGTATGTTGGTTTTATGTATTTCCATCACCGTCATCTACAGGTATCTACTGGAGTGAACAGGCTAAAGGCATAGAGAAGGTGGTTGTAAATTAGAACAACCTTTCACATGCTTTTGATTTTAATGCATGTGTTGCAAGGACTCTGCTTAACATGTATGCCCCCTATTTCTCCAGCCAGCTCTGAAGAAATTCTACGCTAGCAGCTGGATAAACTCTAGCCTTTGATGGTTAAAGCAGTTTCCACAAGAAGTAAGCAGTTCTCATTGGCACTGAGCACACACTAAAGTGCCTCCACCACTTCAACTCAGTGTTGCAGGCATCAGTGCAGCATCCCAACTTTTCATGACCAAACACTCTTATCTTGGTGTTGCCCTTTTTTGTTATTTCTCTAGACAGCCATACCCTTGTCTTTTCTAAAGGCTGAACAAACCCAGGACTCTCAGGCTCTCCTTGCCTGTCCTGTGCTCCAGATGCCAACCACCTTGGTGGCCCTTCACTGGACTTCCTGCAGTATGTCAGTGTGGTACTGGGGAGTCCCAAACTGTACACAGCACTCCAGATGTGGTCTCACCAGTGCTGAAAAGATGGGATGGATCAATTCTCCCAACCTGCTGACTACACTCTTGCTAACATAGCCCAGGATGTGACTGGCCCTCTTTATTGCAAGGCACAGTGCCAACTGATGTTCAACTTCTTGTCCATCATGATCCTCAAGTCCTTTTCTACAAAGCTGTTTCTAGTCACTCCACCCCCAGCCTGTACAGCTGCATGTCATTATTCTGTCCTGGATCCAAAACTTTGCACCTGCCTTTTGGATACTTCATTAAGTTTCTGTGAGCCCATTTCTGTTTAGGTCCTCACAAATAACAGCATTGCTCTCTACCTCGATGACTGCTGCCTCAGACGATTTGTGATATCATCCACAAATGTCTGCTGGTTCAAGTACTCCAATGGCCACCATGCTACTAATATGTACATAAACAGGCCATTTTTTTCCAAATATATTCCAGTATATCATAGCCAAAAATCAATCCACACTACTAAATAACGTGATTTTAAAGGATACCCGGCTTCTCCGCTTGCATCAGTGGCTTTGGGTCACAGGAGCGGCACAGCAGTTGGCTGTCACTAATAATGAATACTAGATTGGTGTTTGAAATCTTCTCTGCATGATAAAGTCTGGAAAAAAAGCCAACAAAAACCTATGTTTAAATGAAGCAAGGAATTCCGTATTTGAGGACACAGAGTATTGGAATAAAAGTAATCCAACTTCACATATTCATTCTGCCTGCTACTGTTTATCTTTTCCATTAACAAATAGCAAGAGCATTTATAACAAGTTTTGTAATCTTTTCGACATTTCCATGGTTCCCCCTTTCAACTAGACTTATTAGCGGACAAAATGGAGAAGAGCATAAAATGACTTTAATTGAGTTAATAGCTAGCTCTGTACTGCTACAACAGTAACTGTACTGAGAAATAAAATCAGTTCAGCATCAATTCTTCAAACAAAAGCCCAACACATAAACCTGTCTGTAAGAAGGGTGAGAAAGAGGCTTAGGGTATGTATGCTGTGTATTGGATGTATATTTGTTGCATTTTTATGTACATATAATTCCACAAAAGGCCTTTAAGTTAGTAGGGTCACTTTCAATTCATAAATAATTGAACAGGCAGCATTATACCTTTAAGCTATAGATACTACACTTCATGCCTTAGATACTAAAGGTAAGGATATTTCCTGATTTTTCAAGGATAATTTTCATGTACAATTTAAATTACTGTGGAAAGGCAGACAGACCTTCAAAAAAGCAGAGAAAAAAACCTTGATATTTCTTAGTCATTAATGAAATATATTCTACCTGTCAAAGTGAGGTAAATGCAGGACAATCTAACAGGTTAATTGCTTTTAGTGGATTCTAAATACATTTTCATACACATATAAAATAACAGGCAAGTCTTTTCATATAGGTGGTTACCATTCTATATAGCAGAGTTTTATTACTTAGGTGTGAATTGATCAGATTATTTCTGAAATTTCACAGATGATGAGTTCCTCCAACTGATTGGGTACAATAAGAGGACAAAATACCTGTTAATTACATAATTGATGTTGTGATTACATATCTGGTTGTTTTAACCAGCTTAAATTGTCCTTTCATACTCTTTCTCACACTGTGGCACTATTTTTGCAATATTAGCATAATAATTTCTGTAGTCTTTCAGTAAACTGAACTAAAGAACTCCTATGAAAAATCTCCAGATTAAAAAAAACACAACCAAAACCCAAACCAAAAAACCCTACAAAACCCCAAAACAAAACTAAAAAACCAAGCTTAATGAGTTCTCTGCACAACCAGGTACCACACAAACACATACTAGCAACATGGAGGAGGAAGTATGGAAGTGGGGAAAATTGTCTGTGTGTTTTGGCTGTATTCACAATTCTCCAATGTCCTCTGTCTTTCTTTCCTGGCTTGAAATATTGTCTTCAAGGAGTTTGAAATCTGACTGTTAATTTTAATTTCTAAGACATTTTCAGAAACTCCTAATGTATGCAAACTTTCAACCCAGCAGGCTTTTGTATGAAAAACAGAACTAGGTCCAAGTTGCTATGTTTCTGAAGTAACCAATTTTTTAAAAATAACATTAAACATCACCTTGAATAAGCACATGGGCCATGAAGAGTGAAGCTTTTAATCACAAAACAAAACAGCATGGTTTGCTTAATAAGACCCGCAGCTCTTAAATCATGAGCACTATTGACTGGAAGGTAAATTTGAAAATAAATTGCATAATCTTCTTGACCATCAAAAATTCCAATACATAACCAGATTAAAGAAAATCATCTCCTTTTGAATATTGCAGAACGCCTTTAAGTTCACGTAATCAATTAAAAGAAAACTAATTGTAACAGAGATAGAAATACAATTTCCATGGAGCATACACAGATCATAAAACAAAAATTTGACTAAAATATTTCTATAATTCTTTAAATTATTACAGTTAAAATTCATTCTAAACAAATACAAAGAGAATGCAATTCCTCATTTTACTGCCTATATACTTCTCTGTCTTGCTTATGTAAGTTTGGTGCAATTAATCCAAAATATATTTTTTGTTCTTATAATACTATCATTATCTTTTGTAAAATAAATGAAGCTCTAAAAGTTACTGTTTATATTGAAGAAATTTTACCTGGAGCAGTTTATACAGTCTACAATCCCACCAAAGGATTTATCATCATTTTCAAAGAAATACTGAGTTTGCTCAGTGATACAGCTTGTTTTAGGCAGGGCGGCACTGAAATCATCATCTTCCATATCAGCTGACAGAAAGAAGAAAATAAATAAATAAACAATGACATTTTTAAGTCACAGACGCAATGGGGTGATCCAAATATGGCCCCCGGCCTAGATTCTTACCTTCTACTTCACTCAAAGTTGACTCTTTAACATTCTCTTGACTTACCTGCTTCAAGGAAACGTGGAAAAGTCAAGCTCAAAAACAGCTGCTGTAAGATAGACCTGAACACAAAAAGACAATATGTATTTATTAAAGGCTCTTTGCCTTCTTTGTATTTTAATAGATCCTTAAAAACCACTCAAATAAGAGTTATTAACAAAATCATCACGGCTTATTATGCTTTTGTCAGTTATTAAAGCTGTGTTTCTTTAAACCTTACAGTTTGACCGGTTTTCTTTTCACACTTTCTCCCAGGTCTTCTTTCACACTAATCTTTTATTCTACTGTTGACATTTGCCATCATTTGTGCTTATAACTCACATAATGGAAATGTTATCATGCCATCCATGTCCTCCTTTTATACCTCTGTGGGAGGTGGAAGAGGCATGTTGGCATTCCTCTAACACTTAAACCAACCAGAACTCCTTTTGAACACACTCAGGAAAAATGCTCCTGGATCAGATACTTCACACTGATTAAGGTTCATTAAATTGCTGAGAAGGAGACGAACACTGGAATATTACAAGTATATTATAAAAATCATTACTGTGGCAGTTGACTTTTCAAATCATCTCTATTCCTGCTCTTGCTGTATGGAATATATTTTCCTCCTAGACGCTGCCAAAACACTTAGGCTTAAAGAGCTCCATTTATTTCAATTTTTTTTTTCACTCATGATCACATTTTTCCTATTTTATTTACTTGAAGCAAGTACCAGCTTGCCATATACATGGCCCCCTTCTCCTCTACCAACCTGTCAAAACAGGAATTGTAACAGTTACATTCCTTGACTCCCTGCGATTCACATCCACAGCTTTGTGCCTTGAATCATTAGATGGATAGTGCACCAACCGTCATGGATGAGAAGAGACCTGATGCCATTCAACAGTGATGCAATTTGCTGACAGAAAACAGTAATCCTTCATAAGGGCTTATCACAGAATTTACAGGGAACTGAGTGAAAAAGGCAGCCTGGGAAAACTGTAAAATCTTCTGAGTTAAAAGAGCATGAAGGAGAAATGATATGTACTCTCTTAACTAAATGCTGATGTATCCCATATAAATTTTGAAAATTATCACTCACACCTTTATCCCACATTGTTGCCTGAAACACTATAGTTTTCTTTAATAACCTAGTTTCTCTTATTTCCCTGCATTTGCTTTTGCCAGGTCCCTCACTGAATCCATTTTAGGTCAGCGCTTTTCACTCTACTTGCTTAATGGCCTTCTCTGCCTGCTTCTGACCTAGATTCCATTAAAAACATGTCCACAGAAAGTACTTTCATGTGGTGCTTTCAAGTTAAACATCACACAAAATAAACCTCAAGTCTAAATTGAGTCCAGACCACTGAGTCTGATTTGAACACTGATAAACTAAAGTTTCTGTTTGAGAAGAGCTCAAGTTTCTCTTCTGGATTATTGCCCATCTCCAGTTTTTGAGGTTTGCTGTTGTCCAAGAAAACCAAGGTTTTTGCTGTTGCTGTTAACAAATGTAACCAACAATAAAAGCCAACATACAATCTTCATAGTGCTATCCATGAGAAAATTACTAGATGTTTGTTCAGCTGCTATATATTTTAACTCTTAGTTTCACAAAGTAGGTAATTTATTCCAGCTTGATAATTATTATAAAAAAATAAGTATCATGAAACTTTAGAAAAAGGAACAGTCTCCAAAGGTGCAATTCACACCAATGCAAAAGTATCAACTCAGTCCCAATTACTTATCCCAATGTAGTGCTGGAGGAAGTAGCTGATAGGGGTGTCTATCTACATGGTCTGAAATAGGTAAAATTATTTCTGTGGCTATTATTGATAATGCACAAACCAAAGTCAAAAGAAAAGAAAGTTCCCAAATGGATCTTTAGTTTTAAAATGCATCCAGTATTCCGATTGTGAAAGATAAACCGAATTACTGCTGATTTCCTGCCTCTCTCAAGGTCAATCCCAACACTCCACAACAGTCCAAATATACCAACTTTTCCCCTCAGCTATAGAAAATGCTAAGACAATGACTATAGATTTATCCAAAATGCTTTATATATATTTGCTTCCTTGAAATAGTTCAATAGTGCTTTTCACATTCCATTTCAAAGAACCAACTAATAATTATCATGAGAACCTTTAACTGAACTGTGCCATCAGATAACACATTGGTTATCCTGCAGTCTGAAGCAAGACTTCTTTACATTTTGTAATAGAGAAGCTTCATGCGTTTTTTGTAAAATGATTCACTGAAGAGCAAACATGGATTTTCTTAAGACTTCTGCTAGAGAAAGGGAAAGATGATATTCTAAAATATGGAACCAAGTGATCAATAATTCTAAATGTAATAATTTCACCTGAACCTTCACACCTGTCAGTCAGACTTAGACCATTAATCCGAACTCTACTTCCTGACGCTGATTTTGTAGAGTCAGAACACACAATCATAAAACCTGGCAAGAGTAGTTTTGAGTTCAACTGTTGACAGAACACAATTTTCCAAGGAGTTTGGAGACGTAGCTAAGAATTTTTACCATGAGAAACTGCAGGAACAAAGGGTTCAGAGCAGTTTTATGGGGAAAAAAAAGACCAAACAGTCTCAACCTACTGAATAATTCTAGTTTGGAAATATAGATTTCCTACACAATTGTACTTACCAGGCAGCTGCCGAAGCCCACCATCCTAGATGCAAAATATCTGTTATCGTAGGCTGGGAAAAAAACAACAGAGATTATGTTATTTGTATAAACACCTACAGACTTTTAAGGGAATGTCAGTCACCGCACAAGGGACTACTGACCACATAAGCAGAACGAAGTCCAGCTCCTTGCTTTGGTTCTTCTTCGGGATCGCAGACCGACTGATAGTCATACGACTTGTTAAAGGCATACAGGGACATGTTAATCAGGTTTCGCATCAGGCCAGGATCAATTTCACCAAAGAATCTTCCAATCTGATGAGGGAGAATATACGGAGATAAAGTATTTCCAAGTATTTTTCTCATAAAAAAGTAAACAGTTGTGACTTTTCCCCCCCAACATTTTTTTTTCCTCTACACAACTCATCTGGTTGTGCTGCTTATGTGTTTATTTCTTTGTTTGACTATTTCTCTCCCAAAAGCTTGGTTGGAGAACTCCAGTTAGACCGTAATTGCTACACACACTATCAATGAGACCACCCTGCTTGGGGAAGAACAAGAGGAATATGAGAAAGAAGGTGTGTGAATGCCATACTACTTGCCCTCACCATCATAGGTCCATCGGCAGCCTACCAGCCTAAGGGCAGAGCACAAAGAACGCAACTTGGTAGAAGTATGGCATCCTGAATCATAAATAAGACTGTGAAAAAGAGTAACAAAATAACTGGAATTTCTGATACAGCAAAATTTTTGTGATTTGGAAATGTTATTCTTAGGGTAAGTTGAGAGTAAAATGTTATTTTTTTCTTTTAAAACTTCTTCCTATTGTTTTTCATGTTCTGCCCTTAAAAATATACATACCTGTTGTGTATATTCATCCCGATTTGACATCAAAAGAAATCCACCATCATCAAGGATAACACAGTCCACATGCTATTGTAAGAAAGTAAAATATGTTTTGCAGAAGGATTTGTCAAGATAACACTCTGTGAGAAACTATTTTTTATTCAACACTTCAGAATTATCTTCAAATCTATGTGGCTCAGGCTAAATCACAACCCCATAGCCAAGGGCCAATATTAAGCTATAATAAGTAGCGTTATCAGTACTACAAAAGTCTGTACAGATCAAAGGCTTATTTGTGGCTTAATTTCATAAACGTTGTTTTGTAAATTCTTATTTGCTCAATACTTTGTTAGCTCTAAGAGTTCTATATCCTTATTAAATCTGATTATAATTGAATCTTAACTCATAATAAGGGACTACAACTTCTCGTGTGCTTCAGCCATGCTTAAAGTCCTTTTCCATTTGCAATTTTAATGGTAGAAATCTTAAGGGCAGACTCTCAGCTTGCTAGTCATGATTATTTTCACTTGCCAAGGATTGTAGTGCATTTCTTCCAGCTGTCAGGTGCAGGACTGGGAAGCCCACTGGTTCCCTATGCTTTGCACTTTGTAAAAGATCCTTGCAGTCAGAGATTGGAGAGAGAGCAGTGAGGCCAAATAGATAACCTTCCAGAGTACCCTTTTTGCTGTAGCTCTTATATTTAATGATCTTCACACTCCACAAAAGAGCTCATGGAAGACTTAAGCTGAGAAAGCTTTCAAGCACATGGCAGAATCTGATACTGTGATAGCCCCTGAAGCTGTGCTCTCCTGAGTGCTAGCAGAGCTATGGGATCCCCAAATCCTGAATGGGCTGGGAACAGAGGAAAGGAGGATGACTAATGACTGTTGAAGGGCACATCACGTACTCTGGTACTTTTCAGTTTGTATTTACCCTTCTCTATGGTACTCTTCTTCTAGATTTCTTTTTCTCAGATTTTTTTTTTTTTTTAATTATTACTCCCTTTCCTCAGGATTCGCCTCTCGCTTTGAAAGTTACCATTATCTTTTTCACACATTTTTCTTCACATCATTCTCTATTGCTTTTACTCTATTGTGTTTTTTTTCTTGCCTCTCATTCTGATAACCTCATTGCAATAATTCTTGAACAACCACTTCACCTGACTTTTATACCCTCTTTCACTCCCTCCCCTCCTAATCTTCATCTCTTTCTCAAGACACAAATGACTAAGTCCTGTTTTCTGTAAAAATAATAATGATAGAATAGCTGTCTTAGATAAATCTAAAGAGAACAGAGTGAATTTTCATAATCTGCCAGATATTCATAAATTGAACATATTCTTACCATACTGTTTCTCTCACAGCCACAGATTTCACTGTTGCACTAAAAAACAGAAGTACAGTAAGCTTCAGAAAAACATTTCAAAAGAAACTGTATTTTGCAGTTATATTAATCAATCAAGACAAGAACAAGTGATTTGATTTTCAACATCTGTATATCAATCGAAATTAATTTTGAGTGTGTGTCGTTTATTACAAATATCTCTGTGAAGAACCTGTACTCAGTAATTATCAACAGCACAAGCTCTACTGTCTTTCACAAAGTCCCTGGTACACCTCCTTTTTTGAGAATGCTCAATACATGAGAGAGAAATAGTTTGGAGGACTTGTCAGGATGCCAGTGTTGTGAGTATAAAATAAAAGAGAAAGAACGTGTGCATTTCCATGTGTTTGGGGTATGGAAAGAAAACCCAGAAAACATGCTGCCAAGTATCTTTTTTGACCATGAAGAGCTTCACCAGTCTCAAAGCATGGGAATCCCATGTGAGAAAGGAAGCCCACCACCTCCAGTTAGCGTTTATGGCTTTGATTGCTAACGTGTTTTTCTCTTTTTCTTGCAATATATGTATACATACACACATAACTGTTTCCTTGCATTATGTCCTGAGCAAAACAACTACTGGATAATGCTGCAGTCATTCATCTCAAATTAATTCTGAGGTATTCCCCTTTCTTTCTCTTTTTCAGTTACGTATTTTTGTCCTTAACTGTTCTGACATTTAGGCAATGCATTTTGCATTTCAACTATAGCTCTAATACCTACAACAGCCAGACACTGTTATTGAATCCCTTAGTATACAACCAAGCAAGCAACATTGCCTCATCCAATTGTTCCACAGTTGTCTCATTTTGTGCCTCTCCTTTCCCAATGCACTATTAATTCCTTAGTTTTCCCTTCGATTTAGCCTTTCCTCCTTCCCATTTACACCTAAGCATTAGATGTAAGGAATGAAAGGCTTACGCACCTATTTCATTAAGTTCTGTTAAAATGCTGTGATGTTGGTTGCAATATAAATCCTTACTGTTCACTGCTTACCCATCCTCCATATTAAATAAAAATAGATTAACTTTTTTCCCGTTTTTTTTTAAACCAATTCTTTTGCAGATTTTATTCATTGCTACAGCACAATCTTAGTAGGGAGGCTACTGGCCGGAATATGTCATTTTTCTTTGTCTTTATCCATGTTCTATAATTATGAAAGCGAGACACGTACAAAATACAGCCTGTTTCAAAACAGATTTATTTTGTGCATTTGGATGATTTAAATACCACAACTACTTGGCAGCTACACATCAGTGTGACTCTGGCACAAAAAGCTATTAGACCTATTTGCATCTGAAGCTTTGAGAAATGCAAATAAAGTTCAAAAAAGACTTGGTCAATTGCTTACCAGGCTCTTGATTGTGGTTTTTGTGAAATTTTCCATCCAGCTGGTTGCGTCAATTTTTATTCCAACAACTAACAAGAAATACATGAAAGTCTTTTTTAGTAAAATTAAAAAAAAAAAGGTAACTGTAGAATCCTAAAAAAAAAAAAAGGAAAAATTATAATAACATCTAAATTATTAAACTTGAAAAGGATAAAATACGAGTTTTGCTCAGTTGTCTGACCACCAACATCCTTCATGAGACTAACAAATTAAGCACTCTTACTCAAACACAGCCAGATCTTTGGCTTGATTTTCACTAACAAGATTAAAACAGTCTCAGAGAAAAGAATGTTATATAAAGTAAAGTTCGTTTGAAATCTCAATTAAATTTCTAATTCACTATTGAGCAAAAACCAAATAACTAATGTATTTAGAGTTTCGGCACCACTCTATCTTACCTGCTGGTTTCAGAAGCTTCCCATTAATTGTTATTTCCACAGCCTTGCTTACCATAATACCTGTTTCATAGCTATTGGCACCACTTTCTGAGAGTACAGAAGGGGGGGAAAAAAAAAGGTTAGGGTGATATAAATGTCTCTTCCTCTGAAACTGAAATTAATGATTATTCAAATACCCAGAATGATTAAAAAAAAATCCTTATTCAAAAGCACTGACCCAGTTGTACCATGCATTTATCACCTGTAATAGATCACCAACATCTGGATGACTAAGACGAATACTTTTGTTTACTTCTCTTCCTTCAATTTTTTTACACGTTTTCACTGCTTCATAAAGTTACTATAGCCTTTTTTTTTTTCTGCAAACAGAGCCATGAATAGCTTTACACATGTGAGCAGCTCTGTTAAAACCAGGATCAGAGCCAAAGATTTCATCCTGCTGTCATCTGTGTATTTTTCAGTGCAGGCTATACTGACACCACTCACTAACCAACAATTACCTCTCTGACGGACTTCAGCCTGTTTTCAACACTGCTTAGTATGTAAAAACAAGTTAAAAGTACATTCCCTGGAGCTCTTTGAGGAACAACAAAGGCTTCAGGGAATTTAGTTAATTACCTTGTTAATATTTTATTGAGAAAAGATGCAATAAATAAGTATGAAATAACAGCAATAAAAGATCCCATATGTTTAAGAGAGGAGTATGTCATTTGCGGTAGCATCTGCTTTTAGATGAGCTTGGCAAGGTTAATGCTGCACACATCAGTAACAAGCACTTACTATTGTGCATATATAGGTTTTAAATATCACAGTATTTCAGACAAACTGGTTTTGGTGAATAACAGCAATCTGAAACAGAATTCAAAAGCAAACTTGAAATTAAGCAGCAGTGCAGTGGACAGAGTTGTGGACTCTGGACCCTTATACCAGCTCTTCCAAATTAGGTCTGGTGCTGAGGAAGTATACAGAACTTGGCTCAAATAAAGCTTTTTTAGGTAATGTTATTGTCCCCGAGTGCAATTTTCTTTCACTTCCTTTTAAAATAATTCTGCCAAAGCATCTTTGTAAAACAGTGTTTCAGTATAATAAATGAACACCAGTACTCTGCATGTTTTCAGCTTTGTTAATTCTGAGCGTACAGGGCCACCACAGTCGATGACAAATTATGATGTGCCTTGCTTAGTGCCCTCCTAGCTACCTTTACCTTAAGAATGAGTGACCTCCCAAGATGTTTTCCTTATGAAGTGTCCCACTTGCATCCTTTGTCAGTGACCTCAACTGGTATGGGAAACTTCCACAAGTACACCTATATTGGACTAGCTAGCTCTGACATTTCAAAACAGTGATGACTTACTGTTGTAGTACGGAGCTGTGAAAATATAGTTGTCATTATCTAAACTCCGTTTATAGAAGCTGACTTCATAAGTTTCAGCATTTTCCAACCAATCTTCTCCTGCCCTAATCACAAAAAAATAGTGATCAAAAAAGATAGTTAGAGTCTCATTAAAGCTGTGCTGCAGGGTTTTTTTTTTTATGTTTCACAGTTGGAAATAATGTGAGATTCATTCACATAGTCCTCAGACTTTGTCAGCTTTCACTGGTTAACTGCCAGGTGTAATTATTAAAAAAAACTTGGGAAAAAAAAAGAAAATAGTATTCTTGGAACAACATGGATCTTGTCTCATCATTTTTAGATATATTGAGACAAATATAACTGCAACACTATTTACAGAAAAATATAAACAAACTTTGATGGCACGTGCTACCTCTTGAGAAATCATCCCAAAAGTTTTTATATCATCAATAACACCAAAACAGAAAAGAAGCTGATTTCAGTAGTAAAATTCATTGCCGTTTTCCCATTTTGGGGAAACATAGACTAACCTAAGAAAACAGATAAATTTGCCATTTACCAGTATATCTGTACTGGTGCCCTCACTATTCCCAGTCACTGATGGGGATGTCTAGTTTATTATATGACCGCTTTCACATTCCCTTTTTGCCCTCTGGTAATGACACATTTTTCTCTCTCAAAGTGCCTGGACCATTTGGTCTGCTCTTATTAGTCTAAAAAAAAAAAAAAATCACCTACTGCTTTACAGTATTTGCAGCCTGCCAAACAAATGAGTGCTTAGGAGTAATTAGGGATTAGCATGGCCCCACTACTACTACAAGGACACTGCTTTTACTGCTACTCTGCACTGATTAGAAACTTGGATTATAAGGACCTGCTATGGAAATAATGTTACAGATCAGTTTCAAGCAGTGACACAGGTAAAATCAAAGGAAACTAAGACATTCCATTCATTTCATAGTTATCAGTACAGATTAGACTGTAGGAGAAGTTGTTTTTCATTCAATAAAACCATTAATTAACCTTTCACCCTTTCAGGTTTCAAAATTATCATATTATAGTATTTTATAATAATTGTTACCTTTTTGGGAACACTCTAGTAATTCCACCATCCGTAACAACAAATTGTGCAACAACACCATCACTGTAAACAAAAATAAGATTTAAAATGAAAACTGACTGAAATTCTCACAAGTTCCTATGTCAAGGGTTGCCATTAAAGTGCATAACCATGATTAAATATCTATCCTGTGTAAACACTAACTGTATATCTGTATATACACACACATATTTTATTATCAAACTTTGAAATGCATCAAAAAAAAAAACACAGTCAAGAAAAAGAATACTCACAGAGACAGTTTACTCCAATAATTTTGGGCAAGTTCATTTGTAAATCCTGCATCCAGCAAAACTCTAATGACCATATCAGTATTACCTATCAAAAGAGTCAAGACACTCATCTGAAACTATATGACATGGAGTTTCATTAAACGGCTAAAATGAAATTCTGAGTTGTCAAGATGCTACAGCCACAAAAATTAGGCTATTTCTATTAGACATACTGTCTAACTTCAAATTACATCAAGTACTTACTGTTAAATAGATTGCTCTGACACTGTTGACTTCACTTAAGCTTTTCCTTCATCGTATCCTAAAAAACTATCTCTGTGTCATAGGAATAAGCAGGGTGATAAGGGTACAGGTCCCAGCTTTGCAAAGCACCTATGTTAAATTTGGAAATTAACCTATTTTTAAAGCATGTTTCCATTCAAACACTTTTTATCTCAAGTGATGCAATGAAACAACACTTAATTCTTAGTTATACTTACTCTTCCGTGCTACAAAACTGGAGATAATTCAACTACAATAAAAATATATTTAAATCAGTTAAGTCTCAGCCTCTCAAAAAAACCCATTTGCCATCTGAAAATGGGTATGGGGAAATAAGCTAATTTTGCATTATTAGCTTAGATGGACATGTAATTTTTAAATATCTTTGAAAAGATGGTTTGAAGTCAGTGCTTCTCAAGCATCTTTTTCAGTACACCTTTGCAAGAGAAAGTTCTAGGAATGATCAACAGAAGTAAGCACACACTTTAACAGAGGTTTTACCACTACAGAAAATAAAACAGCGCTAAACTGGGGCTGAATAATGTAAAGGGAAAATCTGTCTCTTGCTCTTCAGTGTCACACAGTAAATCAGTGTTGGTAAATCAGTTGTTCTGTGACTGGAACCTGCAGCTCTGAATTCTGCCAAACCCCAGCTGCTCAGCCTTGCTGAGGAGAATGAAAACTCCTTCTGGGGAAAAATAAAAATAAAACCCACCAACTTTTCTTCAGTTTTGCTCCATAGAGAGCCATGACATGCTCTGTGCTTCACCCTAAGACTCAGATTCCAGAAAACTGATATTGACTTTTTTAAAAAAAAAAAAGCCCTAATTCAATCTGTTTTCACAAAACAAATCAATAGGGACATGTATTTGGGTACTGAAAAGCTTCATAAGCTTTAGCTAAAAGGCTTTTTCATAAAATCCACTGAAGCCTGAATGTGTGAGCATGCTATGCACAGAGCCAGCAGCTCTGATTTACCAGCAGGAAGCACTGTCTCATTTCACCTTAATACATTAATTTAATTCTCATTAGATATGTTTACATGGCTTAGCTAGATAAACCTCTTAAACTGCATCAAATCCCACAGACTCACCTTCCCTATTCACATGCACAATGTCATAGTAGAGTATGTAATATAAGTTAGGGTACTGTTTTAAAAATATTTCTTCAGCTGGAAGTAATGACAAAACCCCATTAATTAACGTAAGGATGAAATTTGGAGGGCCTTGCTGCATTCACGTTTTCCTAGAAATTAAATTCAAATTGTGTCTGAATATAAATATCAAAATATGTCTCCTGGAGTGACATTTATCTCTGCTAATACAGACTTCTAATACTTTACTGGATGCATCTTTTGTTCAGGATTCCCTTGTACTGCATGCACCCCCACAAAGTGAGACTTGCTTACTTACATAAAGCGGATGTCTTAGACAAGTAGGGTGAATTGCTCTTACTGTCCCCTTAGTAACAGCAGAGGTAGTTGTCTAACTTCCTGGCTAACTTCTAACAGGTTAAAGTTGGATGGGGTGAGTCAAAATATAACAGGTATTAAACTTACAGTATATAGATTATTTTAATTTGGGGATTTTACTAGTTATTCCTTTTGAAAAACATTTTTAGCTGAAATTATTTCCATAGCCACTGTTTCATTTAGTCAACATTGTTTAGTTATTCAGGAGACTATTTTTAAAGTAACTTAATTATTAGAAAAAAGAAGGAAAAAAGTGAATTTTGTTGTGGATTCCAAAATGAAATATAGCAATAATTTGATAATGTTTTGACATAATTACTTACTAAGCCCTAGTGTATACTACAATATCACTAAATGTGTCCTAAGTATTCGCTTATATAACTAGTGAATATTAAACTAGAATTTTCATTTATTAACTGGTTTAATCATTTGAGGTGAATGCTTTCATTTCCAAGATTGAGTCAAGGGACTCAATCAAGTAAAATTTCAGCCAGTCAGCAATATGTCAATGAATAAGATCACTCTATTAAAAACAACAATAAACACCCATACGTACACACAAAAATAGCCTTTTGTGAGAAGATCTCAAGTTACACAGTCTAGCAGAGAGATTCTTACTGAACTGATCAGTGATCCCTGAGAGCAACAGGTTAAAAAGACTCGGGGAATGCAAGACAAAAAAAAGTTTATTCCAACTGTTTAGAAATTATTAATAAAGCTAAACAGACTTGTATGCGTAAACAAACAAATCCAAACATTGAATTTTTCATGAGAACAAGACTTTAATGCATTACTGATGGTTCGTTCAAAAGCGTAACTCCATTTATTTTAAACAGAGTTTAAGGCCCAATTTCTAAACGTGAATACCTCCCCAAAGCCCAGTGCTCACCACTGCGGCAATTACATGAATCTTTGGTCTTAAACAACTCAAGCCCAAGCAAGATCTCCATAATCAATTTGTGAACCCACAATAGAACTTCCTTATCTTTTATTCTGGTTATTGGTTATTTTGGTTCTTGGCTCCTTTTCTTTACTTATTTTGGTTATATAAGCTTACAAGAAAACAGACTGAAGATTTCATTACAATATTTTGAAGTTTATTTGAGACTTACTTTGGCTGATATGCTTAAGAGAAAAAACTATAAATTCAAAATATTTGGAGTGTATTAAAATGAGCTGGTAGTTATTTGCTGTTAAAACAGAATGCTGAGAGGAATTGTGGAAAACACTGGATCCATAATGCCCTGCAAACTTTCTTAAATAAACCCAGAAAACTGAAACTAATTTTTACAATCTCTACCTTGGGTAGAAAATCCCAACACTAAATGTATTTCTACTAAAAAAAAAAAAAATCAGTGAA